TTTGATTCTCTTGATATATATATATTCAAAAGTAATGTTGATATATATATATATATATATATATATATTATATATATATATATATACAGGGCGTCGGCGAAATTCGTTTGCGAGGCCCCCCGAGAGTACGGCATCGTGCCTTAAGGCAAATTACTGAAACTTTCCGTGCCATAATTTAAATGTTTTAAAAGCTTTAAAATTTTTGGAAAAATTTGAAAGAAATTAACTTTTTTAAAGGGTTAATCTTTATAAAATATCTGATAATTTGATATGCGTGATCATTTTAGTCCGCCAAATGGCTTTTCTTTTACTTTTTTTATTAGATCTCCAAAACCGCTAGGCTACCTGCCTTCCTAAAAATTTAATCAGTTTTTCATCTGGTTAATAAAAATAAAATGTTTTTTGAATCATTCGGAGCGGACGCTCCGTATCTTCGAAACGGCTCGTTCTGCCTTTGCCAAAAACTAATCAGCACGTCTTGATGACCATATTAAAAAGTTAAAAAATAATTATTGTTAAACGAAAGTATGAGTAAATGAGATTTATTTCTAATCAAATATTTACACAAATTGCAATAGACAAAAATTACATAAGTTAAAATAAACAAACTCTTCGGTAAAAACAGTTTGTTCTCCAGATATTAGAAAAACACTGAAATTAAATAATTATCCCGAAGAAGTTTTTTTTTTGCCAAATTATTCGATTATTTAATTTTATAATATCTCGATCGTTCAAGTCTTTCTGAATGAAAATGATTGGAAACCATCTACTTAATTAATAACTAATTAAACAAAATATTGCAATCTACAATTCATTAAAAAATCTATAATCAAAACAGTTTGAGTACACAAATCTGCACATAGAATGGCATAACCGAAAAGCTCGGCCCATTATTTCAAAATTTAATGAATTTTTATAATTAATCATTTCTCGTAGTTCCATAAAATTTATGTCAGTTTAGAGTCTAAACTTTAGACTATAATTTTGATCTCTATACAGAGTTTTTTTTTTTTAAAAAAAAGGATTTCTGCAATTAATTACGAAGAAAACGACGCGGCCGATCTTTACTTTCGAACAGTTTTTTGCATTTTGAACTTGGTTTAGAAATGTCGAAATGTCGGATTTTTTAAGAACCTTTAATTTTTTCTCGACGATATCAAAGCGGATCGAGCAATTTAAATGATTCAAGAAACATTTGATTCGTATTGATAAATTGGCAAAGGCAGGTTTCGGAGATGCAAAAAAAAGTTTTAATCAATTTGGTGATGCAGTTTTTGAAAGAACTTATCATCCGATTAGAATGATTCGAAAAATATATTGCCTGTGTTGAAGGTGTGAAACAATTATTTGTTTCAAATTAACAGTATTTATTGTATTTATTTCAAAATATTTAAAACAATGTTATTTATCATTAATTTTATTCCTCATTAACTTTAGTTGAGCTCGAGCAGCCGACCCGAACGGATCGAAGCTGAAATTCAATAGTGCGCAATAGTGTTACGTAAACAACAAGTGTGATTGTTAATCACCAAATATCTAGTGTAGTGATACAGTGTTTCGTACAACAAATGCCCCTTTTAGGGGGGGCATTTAATTGTAAATAAGTGAATAATTTTATTACAAGTATGCAAAATCAAGAAAATATAACTTATTCTATCCCTCCGTTAGTTGAAACTATCAACATTCTTCATGATACGTCGACGATGGACAATGAATATATTAAACAAGTAATCAACAAACAGAAGACTAATAGTTCAATTAATGGAAAAAACCAATCAGACGATACGATTATGAACGAAATAGTTCCGTCAACTTCTTGGCAAACAATAGAACCAGGCAGCAAACAAGTAATCATCAATCAGAAAACTAATAGTTCAATTAATGAAAAAAATCAATCAGACGATACGATTATGAACGAAATAGTTCCGTCAACTTCTTGGCAAACAATAGAACCAGGCAGCAAACGCAGACGCACATCGGCTAATAAATATGTCGAAAATGTAAACATAACGCCGACTCGAAACAGGTTCGATGCATTAAAAACAAACAAAGGTCATCCGTCCGAAACAACAAAAACACAAACTGATAACACCGAGAAAACTACAAGGCCACCTCCTATATTTCTATATAATGTAAATAATTTTTCTGATATGGTATCTGATATTAATAGTGTAATAAACAGAGAACAATATTATACAAAATCAATGTCGGACGATACAGTGAAAATAAATGTTCAACAGCCCGAGCAATACAAGCTGCTTATAAACTTTTTCAAAACAAAAGGTACTGTTTATCATACTTATCAACTTAGAAATGAAAGAGCATACAGAGTGGTACTCAAAAATATCCATCATACATACGATATCAACAAATAAAAACGGAACTAGAGAAGAAAAATCACAAGGTCAGAAATATAATAAATATGAGATCGTATATAACTAAAAAGCCACTCAACATGTTTTTTGTTGATTTGGAACCCTCTGATAATAATAAAGAAATTTACAATATCACGAAGTTGTTGAACCCATATTGTAGTAATTGAAGCGCCCAAAAAGAGAAAAGGATTAATACAATGCACAAGATGCCAAAATTATGGTCATTGCAAAACATATTGCAATCGACCATTTGCTTGTGTCAAATGTGGAGAAAATCATAACTCAAAAATTTGCGTAAAACCAAAAAGTACGCCTGCTACGTGCGCACTTTGCGGTAAAGATCACCCCTCAAATTACAGAGGTTGCGAAGAATACAAGGCCGCGTACTCCACTGCTTACAAGAAAACATATACAACAAAAAAATCACATGATACGAGAGATATTCATGATCCAAACACAAGTCGTCAAAATATTAACATCAGAAACACAAATCACATGAGCTACTCGGAAGTCATCCGAAATCAACAAAGAAACGCAACCAGCGGGCCCGAAACAAGTACGGTACTACAGGATTTCTTGAACAGTTTTAGAGATATGTTTAAACAACTCATGGAACAAAATAATATGATCATGCAGATGCTCACTATTTTGGCTAAGAAATAATGGCTAACTCACTGCGGATTGCTGAATGGAATGCAAATGGCATTCTAAATCATCTAAATGAATTAACTATGTTTCTTCAAATACAAATGATTGACATCTTATTAATAAGCGAAACTCATCTCACAGAGTCTTCATACATAAAAATTCCATTCTACAACTTTTATGGTACTAATCATCCTGACAACACAGCACACGCTGGGGCTGGTATTCTAATAAAATCATCAATAGAACACTATGAGTTAGCGAAATATCAACAAAACCATATACAGGCAACATCAGTTAAAATAAAAGGTTTCGAACACAATATGATTGTTTCAGCCATCTATTGCCCTCCACGATATAATCTAAAGAAAAACGATTATGAAGAATATTTTGAAACATTAGGAAATAAATTTATAGTTGGTGGTGACTTCAACTCTAAAAATATAATATGGGGCTCAAGACTTACGACTCCAAAAGGTAAACAACTGGCAGAGTTAATATATGAGAAAAACTATACCATAATAACAACTGGGAGTCCCACCTACTGGCCAACAGACATACAGAAGATACCGGATCTGCTAGATTTTTTTATAACAAAAAATATTTCAAGTAATTATATTTATATTACGCCCATAATTTTGACCCTAAGTACTAATGTAATAAAACGGAAGGTACAACGCAAACTGTACAACCACAAAACGAATTGGGAGTGTTTCAGAAATGTAATTGATTCAAAAATCAACCTTAAAGTAAGAATTAAAAATGAAAACGATCTCGACGAAATAACTGAACAGTTTATAAGTACTCTTCAACAAGCCGCTAGGTTTGCCACACCAGAACTAGCGCAACATAAACTGGAAATCAACGTACCAATGGAAATTAGGCAGCTTATAAAGGATAAACGAAAGGCAAGAAATGTCTGGCAAAGAAGTCATAACCAGCACGATAAAACAATATACAATAATTTGGCAAGAAAACTTAAACATGAATTAAAACAGTGGAGAGAAATTGGCATAATGAACTATATTACTAATCTTAACAAGTATGATAACACGATTTGGACACCAATTAAAAAAACTAGAAGACCTATAACAACTAACTCGGCAATAAGATTAGATTCGGAAGGACCATGGGCTAGGAGTGATCAAGAAAAGGCGAATATGTTTGCGGACTATCTAAGAAACGTATTTACTCCAAATGAAAATAGTCAACAACCGCGAGTATCTGATGAAGTTAATGAGATAAAAGGCACTACTGAAAACATTAAACAGGTTACACCAAAAGAAATTAAGAGACAAATTTCACTTTTAAATAACAAGAAATGTCCAGGAATTGATCAATTGGATGCTAAAATTTTGAAAGAACTGCCAAGAAAAGGTCTAATAATGCTGACTTATATATTCAATGGAGTACGACGTTTGGGATATTGGCCAAAGGACCTAAAGAACTCCGAAGTAATAATGTTACAAAAACAAGGTAAACCTAGTCATATGGCTAATTCATACAGACCAATTAGTCTTCAACCGGTTATATCTAAACTATTGGAAAAAATATTACTAGTAAGAATCCAAGAAAATCTTACCGCGATACCAGATCATCAATTTGGTTTTAGACAATCTCACTCCACTATACAACAGGCTCATAGGATAACTTCAATCATTCACAAAGCTTTTGAAGACAGTGAGTATTGCTCTGCGGTATTCATCGACGTAAAACAAGCATTCGATAGAGTGTGGCATGATGGATTGATAGCCAAAATTAAAAAATGCTTACCAAATCAATTATATAAAATACTGAAGTCATTCTTGACTGGCAGATACTTCAGGACAAGAGTAAGAGATGCAGTATCAGATTTTCATCCAATAAAATCGGGAGTACCACAGGGTAGTGTATTAGGACCAATTTTATACACAGTATATACACACGACTTACCAACACATAACAACACAATTACGGGTACATTCGCGGATGACACAATGATCATGGCAACACATCAAGATCCAGTAATCGCATCTCTAAACTTACAAGAACATCTATTCGCACTTGAAGAATGGCTGAAAGGATGGAAAATAAGTATAAATGAAGACAAATCAAAACATATCACGTTTACAACGAGAACTCAAAACTGTGAGGCCGTATTTATAAATAACATCGAAATTCCTCCTAGTACCAGCATTAATTATTTAGGGCTTCATCTAGACCGTAGACTCACATGGGGTCCCCATATCAAACAAAAAAGCAAACAAACAATGAAAAAATTCAAACAACTATACTGGCTAATTGGCAGAAAATCGAAAATGTCATACGCAAACAAGACTTTAATATACAAAACTGTACTAGTACCAATATGGAGCTACGGAATAGAATTATGGGGATGTGCAAGTGCATCAAACATAAAAATTATACAGCGTACCCAGAACAAAATATTAAGGGCAATGGTAGATGCGCCTTGGTACGTAACTAATGAGACCATCCACAGGGACCTGGAAATTAAAACTGTAAATGAAATTATAAAGACCCGGAGCTGTTCTTATCACAACAAAATTGATGATCATTCGAACGCTGAAATACAAATTATCAACAAAATGGTTCAAACAAGAAGACTCAAGAGGAAATGGCCAAAGGACCTGCAATATTAAATTATATACAGACAGCTATAGAATAATTCTAGCAGAGGATCTCTTCAATGGAGGAGACCTCTAAACGCCAAATATAATTTATCACATAGGCTAATAGAAACTTTGTCTTCTGATTGTCTATTAAATAATAAATAAAAAAAAAAAAAATTTTATTCCTCGAATATTTAATGAATGTTTGGATACCTACACGTATGTATTCCCAAAAGGAATTATCATTTACAATGTAAATCAGCATAATGTAAATTTTACATTATGCTCGCGTAAGAAACACAGATATAAACAATCAGAGAATTATACGTCTCGCGCAAAATTGTTTAGATTAACCGAGCGGTCTAAGGCGCCAGACTCAAGGTTTCCTTGCCAGTTAACAACTGGCCGAGCGTTCTGGTCCTCTATGAGGGCGTGGGTTCGAATCCCACTTCTGACAAATGCTTTTTGTGAATAGACAAAAAGATACAGTACTTGTAAAAAAATTTCAAACAAAGTTCATTGTATTAGCGTAAATTACACACAGGAAATATATTTACAATTAGACAATTGCAAGACTATGCTGTATGTCAAGATGGCCGAGCGGTCTAAGTCGCCGGACTCAAGGTTTCCTTACCAGTTAAGAGCTGGTCGAGAATAGTGGTCCTCTATGAGGGCGTGGGTTCGAATCCCACTTCTCACAGATGCTTTTTGTGAATAGACAAAAAGATACAGTACATGTAAAAAAAATCTGAAACAAAGTTCATTGTATTAGCGTAAATTACACACAGCAAATATGTTTACGATTAGACAATTCCAATACTTTGCTGTGTGTCAGGGTGGCCGAGCGGTCTAAGTCGCCGGACTCAAGGTTTCCTTGCCAGTTAAGAGCTGGCCGAGCGTTCTGGTCCTCTATGAGGGCGTGGGTTCGAATCCCACTTCTGACAAATACTTTTTGTGAATAGACAAAAAGATACAGTACTTGTAAAAAATCTCAAACAAAATTCATTGTATTAGCGTAGATTACATACAGCAAATATTTTTACGATTAGACAATTGCAAGAATTTCAAGTATGTCAGGATGGCCGAGCGGTCTAAGGCGCCAGGCTCAAGGTTTCCTTGCCAGTTAACAACTGGCCGAGCGTTCTGGTCCTCTATGAGGGCGTGGGTTCGAATCCCACTTCTGACAAATACTTTTTGTGAATAGACAAAAAGATACAGTACTTGTATAAAAATCTCAAACAAAGTTCATTGTATTAGCGTAAATTACACACAGCAAATATGTTTACGATTAGGCAATTGCAAAACTATGCTGTATGTCAAGATGGCCGAGCGGTCTAAGGCGCCAGACTTAAGGTTTCCTTGCCAGTTAACAGCTGGGTGAGCATTCTGGTCCTCTATGAGGGCGTGGGTTCGAATCCCACTTCTGACAAATACTTTTTGTGAATAGACAAAAAGACAGTACTTGTAAAAAAATTTCAAACAAAATTCATTGTATTAGCGTAAATTACACACAGCAAATATGTTTACGATTAGACAATTGAAAAAGTTTGGAGCATGTCAGGATGGCCGAGCGGTCTAAGGCGCCAGACTTAAGTTTCCTTGCCAGTTAACAGCTGGCTGAGCATTCTGGTCCTCTATGAGGGCGTGGGTTCGAATCCCACTTCTGACAAATACTTTTTGTAAATAGACAAAAAGATACAGTACTTGTAAAAAAATCTCAAACAAAATTCATTGTATTAGCGTAAATTACACACAGCAAATATGTTTACGATTAGACAATTGAAAAAGTTTGGAGCATGTCAGGATGGCCGAGCGGTCTAAGGCGCCAGACTTAAGGTTTCCTTGCCAGTTAACAGCTGGCTGAGCATTCTGGTCCTCTATGAGGGCGTGGGTTCGAATCCCACTTCTGACAAATACTTTTTGTGAATAGACAAAAAGATACAGTACTTGTAAAAAAATCTCAAACAAAGTTCATTGTATTAGCGTAAATTACACACAGCAAATATGTTTCTGATGAGACAATTGCAAAGCTTTGCTGTATGTCAGGATGGCCGAGCGGTCTAAGGCGCCAGACTTAAGGTTTCCTTGCCAGTTAACAGCTGGCCGAGCGTTCTGGTTCTCTATGAGGGCGTGGGTTCGAATCCCACTTCTGAAAAATACTTTTTGTGAAAGGACAAAAAGATACAGTACTTGTATAAAAATCTCAAACAAAGTTCATTGTATTAGCGTAAATTACACACAGCAAATATGTTTCCGATTAGACAATTGAAAGAAATTGAAGCATGTCAGGATGGCCGAGCGGTCTAAGGCGCCAGACTCAAGGTTTCCTTGCTGGTTAACAATTGGCCGAGCGTTCTGGTCCTCTATGAGGGCGTGGGTTCGAATCCCACTTCTGACAAATACTTTTTGTGAATAGACAAAAAGACAGTACTTGTAAAAAAATTTCAAACAAAATTCATTGTATTAGCGTAAATTACACACAGCAAATATGTTTACGATTAGACAATTGAAAAAGTTTGGAGCATGTCAGGATGGCCGAGCGGTTTAAGGCGCCAGACTTAAGTTTCCTTGCCAGTTAACAGCTGGCTGAGCATTCTGGTCCTCTATGAGGGCGTGGGTTCGAATCGTAAATAGACAAAAAGATACAGTATTTGTAAAAAAAATTCAAACTAAATTCATTGTATTAGCGTGAATTACACACAGCAAATATGTTTACGATTAGACAATTAAAAAAGTTTGGAGCATGTCAGGATGGCCGAGCGGTCTAAGGCGCCAGACTTAAGTTTCCTTGCCAGTTAACAGCTGGCTGAGCATTCTGGTCCTCTATGAGGGCGTGGGTTCGAATCCCACTTCTGACAAATACTTTATGTGAATAGACAAAAAGATACAGTACTTGTATAAAAATCTCAAACAAAGTTCATTGTATTAGCGTAAATTACACACAGCAAATATGTTTCCGATTAGACAATTGAAAAAAGTTGGAGCATGTCAGGATGGCCGAGCGGTCTAAGGCGCCAGACTCAAGGTTTCCTTGCCGGTTAACAACTGGCCGAGCGTTCTGGTTCTCTATGAGGGGGTGGGTTCGAATCCCACTTCTGACAAATACTTTTTGTGAATAGACAAAAAGACAGTACTTGTAAAAAAATTTCAAACAAAATTCATTGTATTAGCGTAAATTACACACAGCAAATATGTTTACGATTAGACAATTGAAAAAGTTTGGAGCATGTCAGGATGGCCGAGCGGTCTAAGATGCCAGACTTAAGTTTCCTTGCCAGTTAACAGCTGGCTGAGCATTCTGGTCCTCTATGAGGGCGTGGGTTCGAATCCCACTTCTGATAAATACTTTTTGTGAATAGACAAAAAGATACAGTACTTGTAAAAAATCTCAAACAAAGTTCATTGTATTAGCGTAAATTACACACAGCAAATATGTTTCTGATGAGACAATTGCAAAGCTTTGCTGTATGTCAGGATGGCCGAGCGGTCTAAGGCGCCAGACTCAAGGTTTCCTTGCCAGTTATCAACTGGCCGAGCGTTCTGGTCCTTTATGAGGGCGTGGGTTCGAGTCCCACTTCTGACAAATACTTTTTGTGAATAGACAAAAAGATACAGTATTTGTATAAAAATCTCAAACAAAGTTCATTGTATTAGCGTAAATTACACACAGCAAATATGTTTGCGATTAGACAATTGAAAGAAATTGGAGCATGTCAGGATGGCCGAGCGGTCTAAGGCGCCAGACTCAAGGTTTCCTTGCCGGTTAACAATTGGCCGAGCATTCTGGTCCTCTATGAGGGCGTGGGTTCGAATCCCACTTCTGACAAATACTTTTTGTAAATAGACAAAAAGATACAGTACTTGTAAAAAAATCTCAAACAAAATTCATTATATTAGCGTAAATTACACACAGCAAATATGTTTACGATTAGACAATTGAAAAAATTTGGAGCATGTCAGGATGGCCGAGCGGTCTAAGGCGCCAGACTTAAGGTTTCCTTGCCAGTTAACAGCTGGCTGAGCATTCTGGTCCTCTATTTGGGCGTGGGTTCGAATCCCGCTTCTGACACATACTTTTTGTGAATAGACAAAAAGATACAGTACTTGTAAAAAAATCTCAAACAAAGTTCATTGCATTAGCGTAAATTACACACAGCAAATATGTTTCTGATGAGACAATTGCAAAGCTTTGCTGTATGTCAGGATGGCCGAGCGGTCTAAGGCGCCAGACTTAAGGTTCCTTGCCCAGTTAAGAGCTGGCCGAGCGTTCTGGTCCTCTATGAGGGCGTGGGTTCGAATCCCAATTCTGACAAATGCTTTTTGTGAATAGACAAAAGATACAGTACTTGTAAAAAAATTTCAAACAAAATTCATTGTATTAACGTAAATTACACACAGCAAATATGTTTACGATTAGACAATTGAAAAAGTTTGGATTTTTGTCT